TGATGGACGGGAGGCACCCTGTGTCTCTAGAAGGCCCATCCACCTTATCATTCCTTTCCTCAGGTGTGGCCACTACACCCACTGAATCCCAGAGTGACAGCGCAGCACCCGCATCAACACCAGAAAAGCCCGCACTTCAAATTCAACAAAAACTACTGGATATTCTGATCCCAGGCATAGGTGCTGGAAAAAGAATCTGCAGGAACAAGGAGGGCGTCCTGGTCGCTTTCTCCCCCTCCCTCACGGTGGCGGCCTGCCGTATATCAGCCGGCATTGCCATCGGCTGATTCAGATTCCCCCGTCAGACAAGTCCCACCTGCGAGCACTGCTGTCTACACCACATAACACCACATAGATCAAGCGCACGGAGAGGCCCAAGTCATGAACACCATAGCTTTCCATAAAAGTTAATTAACGACAGAAGCATATTGCTGGGGACGGCAATGCAGCCATTATTTATGGCTCAGGAAACCCCAAATATAGGACTTGCCTTTTTCTTTCTCTCAGCCCCAGCTCTGCTCAAGAGGGGTTTGCGCGCCCCGTTTCAATAACCCCGTGAATCATTTGCCAAGTTAGCAAGAGAGTGTAGCGTGGAAACTGTAAAAATGAACACAACCGCTGGACATCCAACTCACGTCCCGGAGGACCCGGACCACCCGTGGCTGCGCCCCGCTCATTGCGCCCTGCTCATTCCCCCCCTGCATCACACTCCTTCACACTTCACATTTCTACTGCTGTTAACAGTCTCGCCCATCACCCCCAAGAAAAAGATTTCCCAAGGAACCCTCGCTGTTGAAAGACTTCTCCAATGCTCTTTCCCCGCTGCAGGGTCTCCCCCCCACTCACAGGCCCCGGCCAACTGCTAGGAAATCGCTCCACCTCGGAGGACAGTTTCCACCCTGGCAGGCTCGCAGCATGGAGCGTCAGTTTGGCTTCAGTCTCTGGCAGGGTGTTCTTAGCACCCACATCTAGAAAATGGATCCAGTAATAATCCTCAGCTCAAGGGTGGCAGCGAGATTGGGACCAACGTGACCCACGCTGCACAGCACCTGGTGCTCAGAAAGGACTGAAGGAGGAGCGTGGTCAGCGGCTTCCACTGGGCTCTGCCTCCCGGTGAGGGTCGGGTGTCCCTGCAGTTGCCCCCCAAGCTCCGGCCAGTTTCCCACGCTCTCTATTATTGTCCAGACAGACTTCAGGAGGTGGCCTAAAGGTGGTGCTAGCGTTTACAAGTGTGTGAGTGTGCATTTTTCTGTGGTGGGTCTAAGAGCTTTCTGTTAATTCTCCAAAGCACTCATGACCACAGCAGTGTCTCGGGAAGAGGAGGAAACGCTTATTTTTGAAAAGCTCAGTCAGCAAGATAGACATTTCTGCTTGGGAAGACAGTTCCCTGCGTGGCAGGAAGTAGTGCCTCAGGAGTCACAGGACTTGAGTGTACTCTCCACTTGACTGGAAATGAAATGGGACACGTGTCTTAGTGGAGCTCAGCTGCCTTTCTTCATGCTGGAAATAGACATCATGGTGACTCTTCTCACTTTCTAACAACTGTAGATTATAATAGGTAATGGATGTGAAAGTACCTTACAGTGCACAAAACTCCACCCCAAGTTAAGGTCTGGATGCCTCATCAAGATTCCAAAGGGTAAACAGCCTTGCCAACCAGCCTGTGCAGTCCAGAACTTGAGTAACGATGGAGAGAGTTATGCTGTTCTTCATGTTCTGCTTATGTAAAATAGCATAGTGATCTTTGGAATAATTTATTAAAAACAAGCAGGCAGAAACCCTCTGTGGGAGAGGGAATCCTGTAAATATTGCTTGATTTCACCAAATCCACTGTAATCCCTAGAGCTACATGCTCCCCTCACCCCCATGGTTTGCTTTAATTGCATGTCACTGCTAACTTCCTTGTAAAGAGACAGGCCTCGGCCATTCCTTCTAATTATCCAAAACGCCAGCCACTGTGTGTGGCCTTACCTCAGGCTTTAACCATAGTAATGTCACTAAATCAAAGCAAGTGGGAAGCGTCCCTGTTGCAGTGACTCTAATAAATGCTACATGACATTCCTTTAAGACCATTTGGAAATATGCTCTTCAGGATCACACCAATTCTAACATAATAACTTCAGTGAAAAACAGTCATGGCCAGAAGCCCACATGCAAACCATACCTTTCCTACCTGTTCTTATTATAGAAAGCACGTTTCATCTGGAAAGGATTTAAACTTGGCAATCTCATATCAGGCCTAGTTCATTCTCCTGAGAAAGGACATGACATGGTGTAATACAATTACGTGGCTATTTCTAAATAGCCCTAAATCCAAAAGCTATGGCATCATTTGATAGTGACTTTGATGATGACAGTAATGTCAACATGGCATTTATTTATGCCTTCTTACATGTAAACATCATGTTTCTTTCTAAGCATTATTTAATCAGCACAGTCCTGTGTACATCTGTTAATCCCAATTTACAGCAGTGAAAACTGAGATCTTGAGGCTGACTAACTTGCTAAAGAAGCACTGAAGAAAATTAGAACACGTGAAACTGATTCAGTTGCCAAAGAGGCAGAAATAGTCTGCATTCTCACTGTCTGTGTATACACTTGGGTTATTCCTGTTTTAAAATTAAGCTGAAAAATTTAGGCCTCTAGAAACATAGTTCCTCCTATTTCCAACTTACAAATGCAAAGTTATAGGAACTCTAGTGAAAATATTTGTAATTCAAATGCTATTTGTATTTTGGCATTTTACCACAGAGCTCCAGATATTAAAAATGTGTGTTACACATTCTTGATATGTGTGCTGATAAACATGGGTGTTCCTGGCTTGTAGAAATGAATGTGGCCATTCACAAATAGTCTACGTACTTTCCTATGTGTATGTTAATGATCAGTTTCAAAACTGTATCTATGTATAGCTATGAATTCATGTTTCATTACGATTTTCTGTACTTTCTCAGAAATGACCATCAAGCTGTTACTACATCTTTTAAATTCCTCTGGAGTAAGTTTCCTTTACAACAAAAATCTGTAGAACACCATTTTGGTACATCTCTTAGTAAATCTTTGTTGGCACTAGAAAGCTAGTTACCTTATAACCACATATTGAGTCTGAATCCTTAATCTCTGGAGACCCAAATGGCTCTTTGTTTAATAGTTCTTGCTTTGAAGGTCAAAGGGGAGTTCATTACAAATAGAAGAGGTGATTAAAAGGGCCTGCTCCTCTTTCTCTGTTGACCTGGTTATCCAGGGCAAGCACAATGCTTGGGAACAGGGTATGCCTGGCTCAAGAGGGGAATGTTTTGCTGAGATGTGAGCAGTTGCCTGGGAAGAACCCTGTCCCTCGAGCCTGTCTAAAGGAGGCTTGAATAGAAACACTCCTTAGGAGAAGTACAGCCCCCTGCCCTCCACCAGTCCACACCCCCACCCCGGCTTTCTCTAACCTTTCATCCCTTTTCCCCCCATCACCAGTCAGAGCAACAATTAGTGGCAATAAGATTGAAATGATTTTTAATGATAGTTAAACAAAAAATCTTTGTTGCCATATTTGATTCACATACTCGTTCAATTCTAGGCAGCTGTGATGATTTAATTAACAACTAGTTTTATCAATATTTTCTACATCGGAAAGTTATCTGTAAAAGGTCAGAGATTAAATGTAGCTCTGTGGGCAATGTATTAGTGAGTGGACTCAGCTAGTGAAGCAAAGACTCATCTATCACCAAAACAAAGAAACCACAAAGGACAAAAAATAAGTGATCCATACAAGACAGAAATCGGAATACAAGTTTTCCGGGCCTGTTACAGCAGCTCCACGTCAGTAGGAACCATGTCAGAACTTGCCAGGTCTTTTTTGCTCTGCCATCTTCAATAAGTGTCATCCATCTCATGGCCGAAGATGGTTTCTCCAGTTCTCACCATCACATCCACATTCCAGCCAGAGGCAGGAAGACAACAGAAAATGGAGGATGTACTACTTTCCTGGAAGGTCATAACCCATAATGGAACAACACACTTCCACGTGCATCCCAATGGCTGAGACTTAATCATATGGCCACATCTAACTGAAAGAAAAGCTGGGAAATGCAGTTATTAGCTGGACAGCCATATGCTTTGCTAAAATTTGGAGGCTTTGTTACTAAAGAAAGGATAGAGTGGATATTGGAAGACAAGTGAACATACATTCACATAATCATCCATGTAGTCACCTTAGTCATAAACCTGCATGTCTACTTCATGTCAGGAGCTGGGCTAGTGTTAGGAATATGCCAATAAAGCACCATCCTGCACTTCCTACCTCAGTGGATTTACAGTCTAGGGAGGAAATAAGCATGGAAACAAACTGTTAATAAAAAACAAATTGCTCTACCGGGATTATGCACCAAGCACAACACTCTGCTTGGTAGGAAAATCTTGGAGAAGAGGCTTTGCACCGACACTTGAAAGAAAGTAAAAATCACAATAGGAGGAGCATTTCTTCAGTTGTTACTTTGTGCTTAGCACTGCGTTAAATCCTTTATCTTTCTTAATTAATCCCCCCTTGATGAGTGCCACTCTTATTCCCATTTTACAGCTCAGAGAATGGAAGCATTTTCAGTGGCAGAACTGAGATCTGAATGTGTGCCTTCTGCTTCCAGAGCCTGTTTTCCTTCCTTGAGAAATAAAGACTCCAGCCTAACCACCCAGATCTCCCAGTGCCTCCTTGTCATGGAAAAGAAAGCAAAAGAGAAGGAAATGAAACATTGCAGGGCCTCAGGAGCCTACCTTAGACACAGCATACTGGAACCCAAAAAAGCAAACACGGGTTCTGACTCCCAGCTCTCTCTCTCAGAAGGCTGGTTCTCAACATGCACTTAGGGAAACACTGAAGGGTCACAGGACCTGTGGAATGTGCTCCAGAAGATTGTGGCTCATCAAATATGTGGCCATGTTTGTTGTTTTATTAGAAAAGTGATTTTTTAAAATTTACTAAATAAAAAATCAAACAGCAATTCAACATCCTCCTTCTAAAACCACTATAATTTCCCCCTTAATTCTGGGGTAGTATATTTATGTTGCCAGGAGGGGAAGCAATTCTCCAATGTTGAAAGGGGTTCACATCCCAGAAGTTTGGCCTTCATTGAAATAAATGATGCATTGAGTAAAGCTCTTCTGCCTTGATGATCTTATTGGACAAAACAGAATCTGTTCATTTGCAGTAGCCATTCTGTATGGTTCTTCTATTATTCTAAGTAGATTGTGTTTTATTTGAGAGGTGCTGGCCCTAAAAGATGGGAAAATACAAGTGAAAGCATTCAATGAAAGCCTGATACTCTAAAAGCTGAAATGTGTGTTTCAACGAGTCTCTTTTTCTCCTGTTTTCTTCTGGTCATTTCCCATCCTTGATTAGTAATTTTATACCCTAATAGTAAAATATGAAATACTTTTTAATACTGCCATGGTGGTAAAAGTGTTTAGTTTTTATGATGTGTCTCCAGAGATAGATCTTTAGCAGTATATAGTGAGGTTAATTCAGCATAAAATAGTATAATATCTTTCTTATTTCTGTTCATTCACATAGAAATTATGGAACAAATTCTAACAAAAGGTTTACTCCACTGGCTGAAAACTAGTGTTTTAGTAGATTTGGATTTTCTTTTTCACTTTAGGAGGTTAGAATATTTCCAATCAACTTAAAAAAAAAATCTAATAAGTAAGAGTTATTTTCCATTTTTGTTTCCTCAGTTTCCTGGAAACCTTGTGATCCCTTCCATGCTGTCATTTTATGAAGATACTAATACTCTTCCCTTGGCTGTATCATGCACATGTGAAGGGTGGAGAAATTCAGTTAGCTGCACGCTAACACAGTGGGGAAGCCAGGAAAAGAAAAGGAAAGGAGAAAAAAAAACCCATAAACCAGGAACATCTTCCTTGGTCGCTGGGTCACACTGAAAGTAGATTCCTCAGCTCTCAAGCCTGTGGAGATTCAATTCCCTCCCAGGAATTCTCAGTGTCCTGTCTCCTGACAAGTACCGAGAGTAGATGGGGTGAAATGAAGGTAAATTCCATATGTGCAATTATATTCACTCTTCCTGATATCAGTACTTACAAAAGTCCAAATTGGGCTTGTACAATGAACTACATTTTAAGTTAATCTCACCATGGCTTCTAATTTCAATCTCTAATGAATGCTTGGCACTCCTGGGCTTCCTTTCATAAAAAGACAAAGTTCCTGCTTCTCACTTCATAAAAATGGCAAGAACAAGTTAACCTTTAGCTAATATGGATAAGAAAAGGTTAATACGAGTGGAATGAAAACACTTTTTCCCCACCATTTTAATTTTACAGTGAAATCCAAAGCTCTTTAGACTAGATAATTGTTAGTTTTTCTGGGTACTTACTGCATTACCCCACTTGGAAACCTATTAAGAATTAAAAGTAAACATGTCAAACAAGAACTGCTCCCTAATTAATACTAAGACATGTATGAAAACATTCTTGAATATTAGGCTTAGTAGTATTGTATATTATACCGTCCTTGCTTATAAAAAGTTAAATGTTTCTTCAAATGAGAATGCAGACCAATAAAGATTGCTAAATATGCAAAATGTAGTGATCCATTTGACACACACAACCCAGTTCTGATAATGTTACACTGCCTACCTGCATTTTAAAGATTAATTAATTCTAACTATCCTCCTGTGAGAGAACTGATAAATAAAAAAGTAGATTAACAGAGAAGTTAAAAAATATAAAGCATCACACAAAGCTTCTGCACCTGAGGTCAAAATTCACTGGGTGGTGACAAAGAGACTTTAATTCTCAGTCTGATTTCTAGCTGCATGATCCAAACACCATGTCACAAGGAGACATAAAGAAATGTGACGCAATGCTTCACGAACCCCAAGAATTTGCTGCTGCTCTTTAACAGCAGAAACTAAAACCAACCATAACCATATAAAACCCAAACAAACAGACTGATCTCTTAAACTCTGACCCAATCTTAACCCAAGTATTAATGATTTTTCTCAGAACTAAACCGACGGAGATTTTCCAAGAAACAAAACCTACCTTTCTAAAACATCAAAGGGCTCCAAAGCACACAAACTGTGGTGTGCGGACAGTGTCGGCAGGACCTGTCCTGATGTGGCCCCCATGCCATGCTCTGCATTTCATCATGTGACGGCCCAGGCAGCAGCAGATTCTTTGAGCCTGACAGTGTTGTCATTCTCACACTGTCCCACTTTGGGACATTGGGTGACCAGGTCTGATGAATTAAAGGACAAGGCTTTGAAAGGTCTAGAACTTTGGGGAGGAGGTGGTACTTTGGGGACATGCCAAGTCCAAGGTGAAATGTAGTCATTAGACAAACTGTCATCACCCAGCCACCCAAATTCAATAAGAGTGTGTTACCACATGATACAAGGTAAAATAATGTCATTCACTTCCAGACTCCTCACCAAGTAGAGGAAAATTGGTTCATTTATGCTGCCTGGACAGCAGCAAACACACTGGTCCATGGGATAATTCCATGTAGATTAAAACTCTAGTCTTTTAGGCACTCCATAATTGCTTGTCAAACTAAATTACTGTTCCCAGACACCTTGTGGTCTCAAAAAGCTAACCTGTCTCTGAAAGTGCATATCATGGTTACATGCTTACCACACCTAAGAAGTCTGCAGCTTATTAATGAAAACATATGTAGAATGAAAGGGGGCGGGTGGGTTGTAACGGGAAGAAAGAATATCAAGACAGGTTTTAAAAGTCATAAAACGTGGGTCTCATTCTTCAAGTCATTAAAACACCCATAGCAGTCTGCTGTTTAATACAATAAAATATGAAAGTGAGGACTGTAACAGTTTAGCCATATAATAGGATAAAGAAAGTCTACCGAAGGATATAAAACCTAGAGCATGGCAGTACTTTCCATGACCTTCAATGACTTACATCTATAAAGGACGCACCAGTTTAACCTCCAGTGAGAAGAATTTTGCACAAAGTCCTGTCTATGGGCCCTTTTCTAGAAGGTCTAGACTTAAAGCTCTAAAAGCTGATAGGATTTTAACCAGCCACTGGAGAAAAGCAAGTCACTGGAATCCATAGTCTTAATTCTCTGATTTTTGCCAATAGTTGAGAGCAAACATTTTATATTGAAAGTTAGAGTACATGATTCTGGAATATCTATGCTACAGAAGATCTTTGATTCCATTTCCAACTTTGCAGCAATTCCATTAGGATATGATTTTATGAGTGAGAAGGAAAGATAAAGAAAAGAGAATAAAAACATGTATTTTCATTCTGTCAACAATAATAATATCCCCTAAAACAAAAAAAAAACCAAAATAATCTCAAAAATCATTTAAAAAGATAATAATCTCAGATAGTCAATAATTGGTATGTCCACTGGAGAGTAAAATTCTGTTATTACTATGTGCTCTATGGTAAGAAAAACAACAGCTTCTACATTAAATTTTTTAAAATTGTGCCTCTTCCAAGTTTTTATAATTGAAGTGTTGAAAATCTAATACACCCTTTCAAAGGGGAAATCTAAACAGTTTTCTGTCAGTAACAGCAACATACAGTAGTCTGGAACCTCCTTGAAGTTAATTGCAGCACAGCTCACTAATGAAACTTTCCATCTATTAAATCTTAACAGGCATAACTATAAAAATGGCGCCAAGCTTTCTCTTGCTCTGGAATGTCCCAGCCTGCACTTTGTGACTTTTACCCTTTATCTTGGTAATTACTGTAATTATTGCAGAGTTGAGTAGAATCAAGATCTAAGAATATACATTTTTTTCCAAGTGTATTTGTTTCATGTGCTCAGGATGAGAAATGCTGGAGATGGCCCACAAGAAATGTAGCCAGCTATGTTCTTTTCACTGTATAGCCCCTGTTAAGGTCAAAAACTGTTGGATTATCATTGCCCCAGAATACATATATGATATATTATTAGCTTCTGTAAGACTGAGATTTCTAGCAAACTGATAGTATCTATTATTTTGGAAAACTTGTGTATTAATAGGAAATAAATTTATAAATAATGTAAGGATGAAGGAGAAAATGTCAAGTTTTTCCAAAACTGTTCCCTCCTTTTTTCACATTATTCATGAGGAAAATGGACATCATTCTTAATCAATGTTTGGATGAAAATCAAAAGGAAATAGCAATTCTTTCTCTATTATAGGTTCTCATGAAGGAAAAAAAAATCATTTTAATTTTACTGTCTCTATATGGCTATGTCCCAATGAAAAAAGGAGGATATAATTCTTGCCACCAATTATTTGCTTAATATTTCCTAATATCGATTCTTCCCGATACTAACAAAATAGTGCTCCTAGGAAGTGAAATCACTGTTACTGGTTTCAAGCCTTTGTCCTAAATAGCAGCAGCTAGAGAAGGGAAATGTCCCACTAAGAGACCGGTTTGAGGGCCAAATGAGGATGGACTGTATGCATAATGCATTGCAGTTATCTTTATAAATTAATGCTTTGCTGCAGGATAAATGTATTTGCAATCTAATGCCCAGTGGGCATTTTATTCCATTTCTATTTTCTTTCACTAGCCTAGTTGGAGCCAAAAAGACAGCATGTACATATATAGTTTTGGCTAAGATTACCAGGACATAAAACATGTTAATTAACTTCTGAAAAGTAAGTTTTGATTAGTTTTATAATATCTGTCTGGTACCTCAGTGATAAAGAGGAGTTTTTGAATGACCCTGCAGACCAAATTTCCACTTAAATGATCATCAGTTCCTAGTTTATGTATTATATGGGCTTCTCTGTACAACTGAACACTCAGTATGACATAGGCCTATCTGTTAGAGAAAACTAAAATGCATATTCCTAGGCCAGTTGAATCAGGTATTCTTGGGGAAAGATGGGGAAGACAGAAATACATCTTTTACCAGGTTCCCTAGGTCATGCCAATCCACTAAAACTTGCGCATAGATGGGTTAAAGGAACTTCAGCATGATTTATTACCTTCAGTTGTCCCATATATAAAATCATCTTCATTGGCCACTAATATTTTTACTTCACCCTGTTGAGGGCAAGACACTCTCCTGAGGGGTGTGGGGGTTCTAAAGGTGAAATGGTGGCATGTTTGCCCTCTGGGTGCTCACAGTCCAGTTGGAGAAGTAAATCAAAGCTAAATGGAACACACCCTACATGTACATTATACAGATAGCAATAATAGTGAGAGGTCACTTGCTGAGCTCAGTGTCTAAGCAGGCCTATTGACATATTTTATCTCTTTCCCATAATCTTAGATAGACAATTT